ATAATCAGCCGAAAAATTTAAAACCCAAGTTAATTTAAATCAAAATAAAGAATCCAATTTTGTATAAAAAATCGTGAGTGACTGTGCCGATGATCAACCAGAACGAAGCAGACTACCCAATACGAAGATCTGAAGCTGCACAGGGACGTAGAAGAGGTCGTGGACGCACAGTAAACTTTGGAACGGCGGAAGTAAGGACATCGTCAAGAAGGGCATCACTGGACATAAATTTCGAAGGTACGTCAAGCATTAACAGAACTCTCACACCAAACTTGCATGCAAATCCGCTCTTGCAACGAAACCTCAGTGATCTAAATTCATCACCACTAACGAGGTCAAGAGCGGCGGCACTGTCGCTTAACGACTTGACCGCCCAACAAGAAAATATAATCAATGGTGAAAGTCGGGAAGGTTCGACAACCCAAATCCTTGATCAAAACACAAACACAGACTCAAATCAAATTCCGCCCCAAAATCCCCCAAATCACAATACATCCGAACCATCGGTACGCATAAATTTTTCCCCCGAAACGAGCACAGCAACATACTCAGCTCGAACCCAACAAACAAACGTCGAACTTGAAAAAAGCGCAGCAGATATTCGAATAGAAAGCACACCAGACGCAACGTTAACTGATAGCACCGTAAATCGGGCACAACCTACCGTATCGCCAATTTGGCAAGAACTCCGACCAGTAATTAATCTCATCGATATTAATCGAACTCGACCATCAAAAGCACCAGTCGAAAATTCGCCTGAAAACCAACAAGAACAACAAACCGTAAACGCTTCTATCACAAACGAAGAAAACAGTAACAGTCACCAACCTCAACACATTGAAGCTAACGTAACAGTAATTCAACCACCAAATCCATCAGCAGGTCAATCACCAAATTCGCCGAAAACACCAACAAACGCGTCAATACCAACAATACCTGATTTTACACCAACAACGCGACTGTTACTAAGAGAAACCATCGTTAGCGGAATAAACACACAAGCGAATAGAACAAAACCAAACTCTAACCCGGAAACACCTGTCCGCCCAATTATTTCCACTAACCCCATTAGACCTCCCACAGCTAGAAATTTAAATTATCCAGAAACACCGGGATTTGCTTTCCGTAATCCAATTTTGAATAGGTTTCTAAATCAAACCGGTCCCGCAACGCCACAGTTTTCAACACCAGTGGCAAGCCAATACGCGCCAACACAGCGTGCACAGAGACCAAAAATGGCAGACGGCCAACAGAAAAATCAACAGCCATTTCAACAGCCACCAACAGCTACACCGGCCACAGATGCAAGCACCTTGCAAGACTTGATGCGAACAATGCAACAAACTCTGCAACAAAGTATGACGCAAATGATGCAACAAGCCATTAACCAATTGAGGCAAGAATTTTCAGATACGGGAACAAGGGGATCAAGCTACTTTCACAGAAATGGTAATGTGAGACCAGACGGTCCAAATTTGATAAACGTGCCTCAAGCACCGCCATCGAGTCGAAACACAGCAAGCGCCGATGCAACAACACAACCGCAAAATCAACCAAATGCAAGTCAATCGGCGCCAAATCGCGATAACGATCGGAATTCAAGTGAAAACCGTCAAAGAGTTCAGGGTCGATCAATGGGACAACAACGTACTGCAAGAGCAGCACGTTACCCAGACGACGATCCGAGCGACGATGGTGATTCAAGTGATGATGGCGACGATCGTCGTTATCACCGTCGCAATGATGCACGCAGACCACGGAACAATAATAATTATCAAGTCGATTGGCAACCTTACAGTGATAACTTCCAAGACGTAATTCAACGCGAAAGACGTGAACTGCTGAATCGACGGCTAAAAGTCATTAAACCAATTGCAAAACCAGACGCTGAAAACATTAGCACATTCGTAAGAGCAGTAAACATCTTGATGAACGCCGTAGAAAGCCAAGAAGAGGATGAATATGTAACCGAAGAGCGAAAAATGAAAGTCACAGCTGTGGAATTTATTCCAATTCAAAACATCATGAATTGTGTCATATGGACTGAATTGCGCACCTTGTTGGAAAGAGAATACAAAGCAACAAACACGGAAAATGCACTCGAAGCAAAACTTAAGTCATTGACACAAAAGCACGCTGAAACGATTGCTGAATTTGGTGAAAGAGCTCGTAAATTGTTTCACGAATACGAAGCACATTATGGTAAACTATGCGATCGAACAAGACGTGATGCACAGAGATGATGAAACTGACCCGGAATCAATTTGTGCCTATTGTAACAGAAGGGGCCACAGAAGTGCCACTTGTATCAACAAAGATCGCGCCATCCGTCAAAGTAATCAAGCAGCCGGATATCAAAACGACCGCACTTGCCAAAAATGTGGCCTCCAGGGCCATACCAAGATCCACTGTTTGGTAAGAGCCGCTAATGAAGCTTCGATCAACAACGTGAACAATAACAACAACGGCAATCGGTCAAATGGCGGCAACGGCCAACGAAATGGCAATAACAACGGCAACAGAAACGGTTCAAACGGTCATCGAAATAACAATAACATCCAACAGAGCAACAACCAACATGGCAACAATCGGAACTCAAACTACAACAACAACAATAGAAATCCAAATTATTTGGGCAGAAACTACGACCCAAATTTCAACAACAGAAACTCAAACAACGGCAACAACAACAACAACAACGGAAGCAGCGGCAACAATTATCAACGTAACAACGGCAACTATCAACGCAACAACAACAATCAACGGGGTAACTATAATGCTAACAACAACGGCAATAACAACCAAAACAATCAACAGAGAAGCAACTCTCAATCAAATCGCCAAATGAACGCTATACAAACCGATCATGCTGAAGAGATACACGAAGACAATGCGGAAAACTAATGGGGATGAGGAGGATCGGACGCGCCACTTCATCCCACCCTAAAACCTCGACAACCAAACTCCATAAATATGTAAGAAACATCTCAATGCTCAACCAAAAGAAATTAGAAATCACTTGGAAAATAAATACGAACTTCACCACCAGACCGATAGAACTTTTGGTCGATACGCTAAGGGAAATTGTACTCTCAAACTACAGGATTCATCTATCTGCATTCGATGGATCCGAATCAGCGATAACCACACGGGGTAAATACATCGGAAAATTCATCACTGACGACGGAACAGAATGGCCCGTCGAAATCCATGCGGTTGATAAAGGGAGCGCTGGCCCCTACGACGGTTTTCTTGGTTATGATTTCCTAGACTTTTACAACGCGATAATAGATCTAGGAAAAGGAACATTACAACTGCGTGTCTTGCCCAAACCCAAACCCCCCACAACGAACCAAATAAAAGATGTCACCCACACTGGCCAGGTGGACTTTGAAGAACTATTTGGATCAGACTCGGACGCGAGTTCAGGTGAGGATGAAGAAGAACAACAAAAACGAGTAGTCGACACTCGGGCAAACAAGCAGATAAAAATACAGATTTAAATTTTCGATATGTTATGAATATGTTATAATG